GAGAGAGAGAGAGAGAGAGAGAGAGAGAGAGAGAGAGAGAGAGAGAGAGAGAGAGAGAGAGAGAGAGAGAGAGAGAGAGAGAGAGAGAAACATGAGTACATTCCCAAAACTATCCGTCCACCGACCGCGATTGGAGTAGCCATGTTCGGACAGCACGGAAAAAGGCATGGGAAAAAAGCCGACGAATTCCAAAAAATTATAATAACAAAAAACACTTAATATGAAAAACACTACGAATTTAAAAAATGTCACATCCGCCAGGGGTTCAGTCTAGGAGCAGCGTGCACAGACATGTGATGCAACACGTGTCCGATGAGGCTTTCCCTCAACTCCTTGCCAAGCTCTAAAGCACACGCAGCATCCTCCTCTGGAGCAGGAGGATGTCGTGCGGGTCTTGCGTGCCTCACACGTCACCGACGACGACAACAGACCAAGTTTGGACTGTCAGTGTCACTCTCATCAGAATGTAGATCGGGGTCGACCTCGACCCTTGAATTCACCATGATGTTGTGCAGGATGCAAATGGCAAAAAACTCTTTGCGCAGTGTTCGCAAGTTGTAAATCTGCCTCCTGAAGTGCTTCCACACGGCCTTCAATCGACCAAGTTCGCTCGATGCACGACCTTGCCGACGTGTGACAATCGTCGTAAACCTGCTCCGCAGGTGTCCGGCCTGTCCCACCGACGGGAGTCATCAGCCATGGCAAGTTCGGGTATCCTGCGCCCGCCAGCAGATACCTACCGATCGCACGGCCATCACGCAGCACCTCCTCGCCCGTCCCAAGCACCCCGCTTTGTTGTGACGCCTCACGATACAAAGGAGACGTACGGAGCACACGCCTATTGTGGGCAGAGCCCGGGCAACCAACATACACACTGACGATTCGACACTCGTGGTCGCGCACGACCTGCGCGACTACGGAGAATTGACCATTCCTGCCGTAGTAGCACTCTCCACATTCGTTCCTGGGTTTTTCGATGTACACGTGTGTGCAGTCGATTGCTCCTACACACCCAGTGAAACCCTTCCTCTCGAACGCGTCCAAATTCTCTTGCAGCTTGTCGCCTGTGGGAAATTGCAGCAAATGCCCATACTCGGTGATGAACGCATCCACGACATCCTCATTGCTCCTGAGGGCACTCGCCAAACCCATTCCTAAACCATGCGCTGTCTGCCTGTAGAAACCGCCAGTCGCCTACCTGATGAGCGCGCATACGAACTTCTGCCCTGCAGGCACTGGTTGTTGCCAATTCGTTGCTTGCCGCTGGATATGTGGGCCGATGCGAGAGAGGATATCGTTGAACAAAGGCCTAGGCAGTCTGCAAAAGCGCTGGAAAACTTTCTCGTGCCTGCCTCCCACCTTCTGCAGGTCATCCCACACTCCTGCACTGCGTGCCAACACCCAGATCCGCCGCCGGCTGTCCATCTGTCTCTCGAATGCAGTGGCCGCCAAACATGTCAACGACATGCTGTGCAACACCGCGCCTGTGAGAAGGAAGAGGGCGGAACACACGCCAGGCACATCTCCCGGCAATGCAGCGGCTCCCTGCAGCACGGCCATGGCGGCGACGTTCCTCCGGTTCATCCACTGCAGCAGGATGAAAACAAGCAGGAACGTCGAGTCATCCGAGTCGCTCCCAGCAGCAGCCATGGCTGCCTACTCCGCACGAATCGCAGGTTCGTCGACCACTGTGGAAGAACACAGGATGCACAACCGAGTTCACACAGCAGGGAATCCGCTCCCGAGATCGACGCGCTATGGACGTCAGCGGACGAGAAGCAAATACCAGGAAGCGAAGACTCCGCCTCCAGGTGGGGGAGGGGTGAGAGGGGGGCAGCCGGTTTGGTGGGGATGGCGCTGGCACAGACACCACGTCCGCAGTCCGCCCCAACGGTCACATCGCGGGTTTGTGGTAACCAGGACTGGTACCATAGCCACAGACTCCACCCACCCCCAACGAATGCAGCGGCGCTGTTCGATTCCCGATTCGTCGATCGCCGGTCGCCCAAACGCCGCCCAGAGTCGCCCTGTGCCGGACCATGCTGGCTCCTACGCTCCACGGCCGGTCACTCGGACAAACCAGCAGTTTCCATTTCGGGACGCTTGGCGGCCATGTTTCCTATTACGGTAAACTTTTTCAACATTTTGCCGCAAAACTCCCTCCGCTGTGGGGTCCCCGCAGAAAGCTTTCCAGACTTTCCAAAACTCTTCCGACGACGGTTCTGCAGAAACGTCTTTTCCAAAGGAATTCCTGTGGGGTCCAGGCCTTAGGAGTAGTGGTAGGTAGGTAGTGTGAGGTGAAATTGAGAGAAGAATATAGCTTTTTAAAAGAAAAGAAAAGAAAAAAAAAAAACACCAGCAAGTTGTTGTAAAACGTCTCAAGTGGGTCCCAACCCCAGAGAATCTAACCAAAAAAGAAGAAAAGGAAAAAAGATGAATAAAAAAGTCTCAAGTGGGTCCCAACCCCTGTCACTAAATCTGGGGGCTGCAGCTCCCAGCTTCTTCACTGCGCGCCACCTGGCGCCTTTGTTCTTAGTCTCCCTTTTTTTTTTCCCTTTTCCTGTCTGTTGGTTTCTCTTTTCTTTGTTTGCATGTTTCACTATCTACCTACTACTACTCCTAAGCCTGTACAGGGGATCCCTGCAAGCTAAGCTACTGTGGGCAGTTGCTAATTCGGACCCTTTCTCGATTTACGCCTGTCGTCCTTGCGCAGGGGCCATGCTAATTTCGGCACGGCCGTTT